TCACGGGGCCACCGCGTCTACGAAACGAAGGTTAGTGTGGCCTACTTACTGTTGGACGCCGAACTGCGGTTCCGGTGGCTGGTGTGCAGGCGCCAAACGACGCCGCTAGTGTTGCCGTGCCTTAAAACAAAAGCAAGCGTTCCGTGTATGTGTTGATGGATGCACCCAAAATAATAGGGAGTTTTAGTAGACCGCGTTTCCCCCTCCGCTTACCCTCCACTACGAAGAAACCGCCAATGCGCCTGCGCGCCTATGGCCTTGGCTGTAGGGTTCCGGGAAGCGGAGGGGCTGAGCGGTGAGGGAAACACGGTCTACTAAAACTCGATAATGACCGTAGGAGCCGAGAGTCAAGACGCGAACAACGTCATGGCTCTACTTAATAGGGAGATATTTTAAAACGTTAAGGTCATCACATCTGAGATGGAACCTGCATTCCGAAGCAAGAAGCTGAAACAATGTACAAGGTAGCGAAGCGTATCAGTCGAGTCATTAGCACTTTATTATCCAGCAGCCAACAATCTGTCTATGCTAGTTATTTGGGAAAGTAAGCAATACATCAGCATGTAGGCTAGTTTTTTTGTTTTTTTTTTAGGCTGGAAGTTGTTTTTGGAGACGGCTGTGACGCATAAAAACAGAGCTTCCACGAAGGGCCTGGAATGTAGCCCAACCTTTTTGACCACGTAATAGCTGAACCTACACTAAAAAATTCCAAGAAAGTTTGAAATTAAATTATTATTTATCAAACCATTTGCCTGCAAATATATATATATATATATATTGTATTCTATGCATCCTGCGACTGTGAGGGGGGAAGGTACACTGATTGCTGACAGGCACCTGAGCAATGTTTTGTAAACTTTAAGCTGTCCAACCGATTCTACGCCGACAAGCATAAAAACCAGAGAGTATGCGGATTTTCTTGAGTCGTGTTTTCTACATTTTATATATAGAATCAGTGTATTTCAAGATGCTATTTTATACAATGTCTTGGTTAATTCTGTAAGGTGCTATGAAAAAACAAATAGTGGTAAAAACTTTCAGAAATCAGAACCTGCTCCTCGTGAATGCTTTGTTGCCTGCATCGACAAGTGAGCATAATGACTGTCACAATAGCACCATAGAGTGCACAGCGAACAGTAGGGTTGCATAAAGACTGAAAGGCTTTCAGATTTTTAAGAATTCTAGTATTAACACCAAATCAGACGGACGTCACATTATTTAGCACTAAACCATTGGAATCGGAATTTCCCCTTGTTTTGTTTTGTGGATTGCTGCCTTTTTACTAAATTAAAAAATAAAACAAAGAGTGTAAAAATAATTATTGTTAATCAATAAATATTGATGTGCCCTGAGGTGTGCCCCAAGGTTTCGTGTTAGGACCGCTGTTATTAGCTTATGGTTAAACCATCGCGGGCAACATTGACACAACTGTGACTGTGAAAATGTCTGATAATGACTGTGAATTACTTGATTGACTCTCGCCCAATAAATTACTTAGATTGACTGTAGCTCAATAAAACCTTTAGAAGAATTGTGGAATGGTATGAGAAGTAGAAATTGAGTATCAATTTATCTATACTTTCCGCGTTCCCGGCAAAGCACAAGAAATTATCTTTCGGGCCTACATTCCACTACGATAGAAACACATTTTATTTGTATGGGAATTAATGCATCAGGGCTTAACGCTTCACTCGAATTTGCAATTACACACTACGTAATATACCTGCTAAGGCCTAAAAAAAGAGTAAGTAATGAGCCTACAAGAGAGGTCCGTTAGATGTTTACCATATTAAATAGTAACTTTCCGAGTGCTTGAATATGCGTGAATCGGGTGGAACCGTACCTTAGGAAATATTGCCACCCGCAGAGCCGAGAAGGCAACGCTCGGTCACGGTCTTCTAGAAGATTCCCGGTCATTCTCGCAGCAGACGTAACTTTCCTTCTGCTTTGTTATTCTCGAAAGTGCCAGTTCATCCTCGCCCCGAGCGCGCGACGCTCGAACCTTCTTTGCCGAACTTTCGAGATAGTGACGCAGGGTAGATAAGCGGCTCCCGCGACCTTGTCCAGTCAGTCCCAGTTTCGCTAGCGCTCTGTAGTGCCGCCGAACCGCCGCCAGCTTTTCTGCTGCCTCGACGCTCTTTCGTTATTTATTTTTGGTTGGCACAAGTTCGCCCATTAAACCTTTATTTTCAGTTTACTCTTTTCTTTCTCGTCGCCTTAATTCGTGACATTTCTGGTGGAGGTGCGGGGTACAAAACCCGTGCAACGTATACCCCTAGAAGAACTCGGTCAACAAGCCCCATTTCCCGACGACCTTTCGTTGAAGACCCGAAGCACCGTGCCAGCTGCCGTCTTCAAGGGCAAGCTCCTGAATTCGGACCATTCACCGCGAGGACAAGGCAAGCGAAGACGACGATGGCCAACCAGTCGCCGAACCCCGCCGCTCCTGCCGTCGTCTACCTTACCGTCGCTCCTCGTACGCCGACTCCCTTCCACGGCGAGATCCACGAGGATGTTTGTTATTCTCGAAAGTTCGGCAAAGAAGGTTCGAGCGTCGCGCGCTCGGGGCGAGGATGAACTGGCACTTTCGAGAATAACAAAGCAGAAGGAAAGTTACGTCTGCTGCGAGAATGACCGGGAATCTTCTAGAAGACCGTGACCGAGCGTTGCCTTCTCGGCTCTGCGGGTGGCAATATATTGAAAACTTTGAGTAGGTTCAAGAACTAAGTGCACGGGTTTTCTTCCATATTAGCTGTATCTATTCAGTATCTTATACGTAGAGTTCCGTGTTTTCATTTAGATTCGATAAACTCCGGAAAACACCCTCCGGTAAATTTTTCGTCAATTTGGATTTAATCGATAAACTCCTAATAGCGATGTCGCAATGTCAGAAGAAGAGAATCGTTATTTTAAGTTTGGTTAGTGCACAAAGGCAATGGTCCCGAAACAATGTCACCCCAGTTATCTTTGAAATCTCGAACCGTTCGCAAAAGGGATCTTACCGCTTATCTTATCAAGGTTCATTCAGAACAAAATGTCAATGTACATTCAGCTTATAACAAATACTCTGTTCCGGTCTCCAGTTTGGAAATACTATTTATGCTTCTTAGAGGAAGGGGAGGGGGGGTTTATAACATCGAAAGCTATGAACCATAGAAATTTCATTGAAGGGGAAAGAGGGGGTGGGCAGTTGAAGCTATGCAACTCCACCGAGGGCAGCCAAGGGGTCGGTTGATGTATAGTATTGGATAAATACCAGCTTCCAAAGGACTACCTCCAGTAGTTTATTGATTTTAAGATATCAACGTTTATCGAAGCAACACTTGTTTTTTTTTTACTATTTTTGTGGAACAAATAAGTATTGCCAAAAAAAAATGGCGTCAACGCGAAATCTAGCAGCAAGAAGTAATAATTTATACAAGCGCGTTCTCTTGAGCTAAGCATACATAAGCCACACATGTACTATTTATGGTAATTTTTCAAAAATATAAAACACTGCCAAATGAAACTTATGATTTCAGACAATTGCCAATCTAGCATAAATAAACTCCGATCAAATTAGAGTTTTCGGCAAGAAAATAAACACCGAAAAACAACAACCGAAATTAACGAAACATATACTCCGAAAACACGGATTACTAAACACAGAATACGTAAATACGGAATTATCGCTTGAGGCCAGACGTAAAGTGCCAAACCTACGTTTTCTTCTTTTTGTTTGTATACTATCTTCAGCAATGAATTTGACCAACTAAAATGCATACATTTTGTCGCCTCCACAAAGTTCTGCAAGCTCAAGTAAATCACTCAAAAAATTTCAGACCATATGATCAGAAAATAAGCCTTTAAATAGTCTTTGTGTGCGTGCGTGCGTGCGTGCGTGCTTGCGTGCGAACGATATATGACGAGCATTTACTACCTTTTGACTAAGTGAACTCGCCAAAAAATATTGATTGTGATAATCTCCTAGAGACATGATGTAACCTTCTCCTGCTTTGTTGGTGAAGCACTACCCAGGTATCGTTTTAAATAAATAAATAAATATTACGCAAATACCAGTGGGGCAATGCCGGGCCCAGCAAATTTTTTTTTTAAATGTCACTATGTTGTTTCATCTAAATCTTGTATTGTGATTTGTATGTGCGGGGACACCGGACCTACTCAAGCTTCCTATTGGAAGCTTTTGTAACGGTGTCCGCCTCACAAATTCGTGTTAATAAAGTTTAAAGTTCACTTAAATTATTAAATGGCATGATTGAAGTAGTGCGAAGTGCTATAATGCCACGTCCTAAACACGCCATGCAAGATTGCTTTTTTGAGCTAATATTTGCCATAACATGACTCCGCTTGGTCTCTGGATCAGCGACGCCCTAACCCTCTTAGTTCCTGACGAGAGGAAGAGCGCATATATTTATTCACGTTTTGTATTTTGGAGGCGCGCGCGTGGCGACAGCGTCGAAGCGCGATGAACATCTCGCACCGGAGCTAACGAACCTGTTTTACGCTTTGATTGAGCAAGACCCAGCGAAGGAAGAATCCGCCGAGAATGTTTATTCATACACTCCCGTCCCTCTTTGTTTTCTTTCTTCTGTCGTTTATAGAATGGTTTATCTTTACAGCTCGCCCCGAGTAATTCCTCTTTCGCGGTGATAGACATCGAAGTAAACCAAGACGACACAAGATAATCCTCACTTTTCTTTCTCGTCTTCGCCAATTCCTAACCTCACTGTTTGTTTCGCAGTCTGCAATCTCTTCCGAATGCCAGCGGAAGCCATGCCGCAGGGGAAGCGAGTCAACCTGGGGTCTGCGAAGACTGACCCAGAAATTCTGAGCTACCATCCGCAGGAATTAAAGAGAGTCGTAGATAGCCATCTTCCTTATTTATTATCCTTACTCCTAAGAACCGCCCCTGAAGAAGCCTCGACGTCGGGGTATATAAGCTCGTGCCGGTAGCTGCAGAATCATCGGAAACTCGTCTTCGAGCTTCTACCTGCTACACCATGAACTCCCTCGTAAGTTGTTTGTTCCTTTTTAATGATTTCTATTTCGTTCAAAAAATGTTGTTTTCTTTGAGAAAGTTGCGTCCTAAGCACGTTTTCGAAAGTTGCATTTGATCTTCGCCTCCACCGTCATCTTGGAAGATGTTTTTATCTGGTTCCAAATGTTGATTACAGTTTTCGGGCAGTACTGCTAGATTTGGTCTCGGTCAACATTTCTGTTTTACAGTTCCTACCCTGAGCCATAGGAATCGCCTTTACCCTGTTATCGGCAGTTCTGAAATGCAGCTAGCAGACGCATGGTCAAGAGAAAGAATTGTATTATAATCGGCCATTACTAGAATTTTAGAATTCAAGATATCTTTCTAAAAGTACATTCTGTCCTCCTTTTTTTCTATTTCAACGTCATGCAAATAAGAGAATAATAAGTGATCACCGATTTCAATTAAGTACCTTGATGTGCCTCATACAGTAATCGTGTGGCATAACTGCCTACATGCATTTTTACTGAACACCCCCGACACCAATCCAGATCGCTTCTATTGGAGGAAAGATTTGTCAGCTAACTTATGCCAGTCACTCATTCAAACCCCGTTTCTCTTAAATGATTGTCACTGGAGCTTTTTTTCTGTTCAAGTAGAGCCCTCAAGTAGAAACATACCTTACAAATGACCGAAAAACTAAGTTCGGAGGAATCCTCAATACCACGGACGAGATTTAGTAGGCAAGAGCTTCTTCAAGACGGTTCATTTAGAGACTAAGCGTTGAACGAGCTAAACCTCTCAATGAAACGTTGACTGCCTGGGACAAGCTTCCCTAGAGGTGTTGCTTCGAGCTTTGTAGCCAAAGCATAGTCTCCTGCAAAAAAGTTTTCGTTGCTACTTTATGGTGTCATTGAACTTCGGAACATCCTTTACTTGATATACCAATGAAAGTGAATTTTGCTCATCAATATTCTAGAAGTTGGAGAACTGCTCTATATAGACACACCAATTCTGACTGTATTAGAGCTGTGCTCACAAGTTACGATACCACATTTGACTGCTAAAGGACCTATGGTAGGATCGACAGTTTATGGATGTCAATTAGATTATTAGTTTAGCTTCCTCTGTATTATAATAGCCATTCACTGTGAGTCCAAAGTCATGAAGTCAGTGCCTGCAGATCTAAAAAGCCTTACTTTTTTTTTGAAATTGTAGAAGGGCATATTGTATGTTGTTTGCCCTGACCAGCTGCCAGACATTTCTAACATGAGCAGCATTGAAGGTAGAGCGTATGTCGCTTGTAAGGAATGTTTACTTATTTTGCATAGTTAAATTCCCAAACTATCAATACAATGAAACGATTAGTCCACAAACTTTGTTCGCATAGATCACGAAGGTATAGTGCTTAGTTAGAGAAAGATAGCATTTCTGGACAGACGTGTTTGTTGGGTGCACTTCAGTAACGCTGAAGCGTCATCGCCCTTGTAGATTGAGCATTTCTTTCATGTCTATGAGTGCATATCCTTACACGTTCGTGCAGCAAAAAGGGATACAGGTCCAGTAAGAAATGTTGCGGGCGAGACCCTTATTTGCATTTCCTTTCTATTCCAGACTATCGCTGGTTTCTTCTGCCTTCTCGGCGCTGCTCTCGGTGCCAACGTCGCTGGATACGGCGTCGGATACGGACACGCCCTCGGATATGGCGGATACGCCGGATACGGTGGTTACGGCCGAACGGTCGTGGCGGCCGCCCCCGCCGTTTCCTACAGACACGGATATGGAGGTCTCGGCTACGGCTATGGCGGTCTCGGCTACGGTGGCTACGGATACGGCGCCGGTCTCGGCTACGGCTATGGAGGCTACGGCCGCAGCGTCCTTGCCGCCGCACCAGTCGCGGCTGTCGCAGCTCCAGTGGCGCGTGTAGCACATGTCGCCCACGTCGCCGCCCCGGTTGCGCACGTTGCCCATGTTGCTGCTCCAGTCGCCGCTGTCCATGCTCCAGTCGCCGCTGTCAGCTACAGACATGGCTATGGCGCCGGTCTCGGCTATGGCTACGGAGGTCTCGGCTACGGCTATGGTGGTCTCGGCTACGGCTACGGTGGTCTTGGATACGGATACGGCGGTCTCGGTTACGGATACGGAGGATACGGCCGTGGAGTTGTTGCCGCCGCTCCTGTTGCCCGCGTTGCCCATGTCGCCGCCGCCCCTGTGGCCGTTGCAGCACCAGTTGCCCGTGTCGCCCATGTAGCTGCCCCAGTAGCCGCCGTCCACGCTCCAGTCGCTGCTGTCAGCTACAGACACGGCTACGGAGCCGGCCTTGGTTACGGCTATGGCGGTCTCGGCTACGGCTATGGCGGTCTCGGCTACGGCTACGGCGGTCTTGGATACGGATACGGCGGTCTCGGTTACGGATACGGAGGATACGGCCGTGGAGTTGTTGCCGCTGCCCCTGTCGCCCGCGTTGCCCATGTCGCCGCCGCCCCTGTGGCCGTTGCAGCACCAGTCGCCCGTGTCGCCCATGTGGCTGCCCCAGTAGCCGCCGTCCACGCTCCAGTCGCTGCTGTCAGCTACAGACATGGCTACGGAGCCGGCCTTGGTTACGGCTATGGCGGTCTCGGCTATGGCTATGGCGGTCTTGGGTACGGATATGGCGGTCTCGGTTACGGATACGGAGGATACGGCCGTGGAGTTGTTGCCGCCGCCCCTGTCGCCCGCGTCGCCCATGTCGCTGCCGCCCCTGTGGCTGTTGCAGCTCCAGTCGCCCACGTCGCCGCCGCCCCTGTGGCCGTTGCAGCTCCAGTAGCCCGTGTCGCCCACGTCGCCACCCCGGTCGCCGTCGGCTACGGGCACGGCTACGGTTACGGCGCTGGCCTTGGCTATGGCGCTGGCCTCGGATATGGCTACGGAACCGGTCTTCGTTATGGCTACGGCGCTGGTCTCGGCTACGGCTATGGCAGCAGCCTCGGATACGGCTATGGTAGCAGCCTCGGATACGGCAGCAGCCTTGGCTACGGCTACGGTCTTGGTCTTGGACACGGCTACAGTGCTCTTGGACATGGTGGCCTGGGATACGGTGGTTTCAGCTACGGTGCCGGTCTCTACAACGGATATAGCTACGGCAAGCGCCGTTAATTTGCCGCGGTCTGAAAGGCCCCTCTGAGTTGCGGTTCTAATGACGCCGTTACGAGCCTGCAGCCATTGCACGTCCATGTATTCTGGATGCTTGTGTTCATCGTGTGTGCCGATATTCTGTTGTTTAATGAAGTGTCGACTGTCTGCTGAATGTTTGGTTGTGCGTGGCACTGCAGGAGTCATATTGTTTGCGGCCTAGCTGGATTCCGGGCAGGGGGGCTTGTACATTGACATTTGACGAATAAAACAGTCAGTCATTGAGCATTCTGGTAACTGTTTTGGTTCCTTGAGACTGCTTTATGGTGTAATGCCCACCTCAAGTTTTCATTGAAAGTGCTATTTCGGATTTTACATAATTAGTGGTCCTACTATCCACGGCAACTCATCGATGACACGAGTAAGCTCCTCTCTTCTCCTCACAGCGGGTCTTGCGTCCATCTCTACTCTCTTTTTCTCGCTGTATATAACAGTTATATCTCTCTTTTTCTTTGCCTCTCCACATTTCTCTCCTCCCTTTTCATCTCTAGTTTCTTTTTCTTCTTTCCTTTTTGCAGGATATACACTTGCTACAACTAACCCAGAGATTTAGTGTTCCCAATTTGCCACCAAAAGGGAAATCCCAAGCATCTAAGACAAAGGCGTCTTTAGCTTTCTTTTAATGCAATAAAACGCTTAATTTCAGGCATAAAAAAAAAAAATCAGTATTTTTACAAGATATGCATACCCAATGAGGCCCAATACAAGGCAATAATATAATTATATGATAACAGAACACTTGTCACTGGCCATTAAAGGAGGTTTATAGGCTAGTGGAGAGGAGTTGATCAAATTTATTCACGGCGATCATTACTTAATATTAGAATAATCAAAATTTAATAATTTCTCGCCTTGTTAATTGGCATTGCGCTAGTGTGACAAGCATATCTTTGGCTTGTGACCATCAGAAAGGGCACCGATAAACTAGACGCGCTGAAAGAAACGAATACATGGCTTTAAAGTCGGCCACACATGGAACCCTTCGAGGGGCAGGGAGCGCGCTTTGTACTGTTCAATACAGAACAACATCTTACAGCACGTTTAGCATAGCACTCTACGTTTCTCAGTGAGAATCAGCTTCTTTCCAGTCGGTACAATGTATCTATCGGGTCGTTTGATATCAAATCAAACACACTGTTCGATTTGTTTTCTCGACTTTATGTTTTGACACTAGTCAGTATTTAAAAAAAAAATTCCAGATCGAATGGGGTTTATTACAATAATATACATCTTTAATAAAGTCAAATATAATATTCCCCCAAAACGACCTTTCTAATTCAATCGACACAAGCCTGCAGTCTTTCAGGCTGAAAACTAAAGGGTCTAAACCTTGCAATGTAACCAACTTGCGGATGCTACCGTATTGTCGATTCGTGCGTGTTGATTCGTATTCGACGTCTTCTAGCGAAAATACAACATTAGAAAGGGAATTTGGATCACGCCACAAGAAAGTCAATATGACTGGGAATTTTTAAGATATAATAAAAATAAAGCATTTTTTTTTTCGATGAAATAGTTTCAAAATATGAACAAATTTGGATTTTTATGAAGTTCGAAAACTAATTTAAAATAATTTGTGGGCACAAATATAAAGACCTGTCAGTTTATAGGCCATGGATAGGATCACACGAGGAGAGTATTTTATAAGCGCTAATTAAAACGAATATTGAGATACAAGGCTCCAAATATGTCACCCGAAAGTCAAAAGTACAATGTGTGGCATTTGGTTTTATCTCGGCAATAAAATTTGGGTTATTTGTCCAGCGTAACGCAATTAATACTCGGCATAGAGCAGAAACACGCAAAAACATTTTATGAATAATTTATACATTCTCTAAAGCATAACAAGTAACAGAACTTTCTACAAAATTCAAACACATAAAATTTTATTTTCACGTTGCTCCATGTAATATATTTTCTTCAAAAGAAAGCATTTTTAAGGCTGTTTTTGTTATGCCTAGACATGGGGCTAATATATATATATATATATATATATATATATATATATATATTTTTTTTTTTTTTTTTTTTAATTGAGAAAAGTACAAAAACCCACCCCGACCAGTGTGTTCATTTGATTAAAAAGGGTTACTCCGACTTAACATAACAAATTAATAACAAAAGGTACAGACGTTTCGCCACCTATGCAGGTGGCATCTTCAGTATACACTGACACAAATGAGGTGAGGTTGACCAGTCTACTTATCACACACGTCCCCGTAAACGTCCGGCAGGGGGCCACGGTTGGTGTTGCAACACCAACCGTGGCCCCCTGCCGGACGTGATTCCGTCCCCCAGATTTTGAAAAAGTCGTCTACTTCGATCGGTCGGGCCATAGTGGCTCGTTATTGCATGAATTCGTAACAACTGTTGTGAGATGTGCTAAACTGTCCCTTATGTGGCTTTTTTCGAACGGCATCCGCCGTTCCAGAATCCATTTCGCACAAGGTTGAGAAAATGCCTATAACTTATTTCTTTTGACTCGAACGCCAGTCGAATCGTCTTCTCTCAAGAGCACCGGTCAACGCACTCCCGGACGTTCTTCTCAGGAAGTATTGTCCCGTAACACCAGATAACGCGCGAATTATCGCGTGATGTCACGCAAGCGGGCCGGATTACTTTTGGGGAGAAACGCCGGAGAAGGAAAGGGGTGGCGTGCACCTCCTGAAATGTTTCCTTCGCCGACGAACCAGCGGCTGTACCTGCGGGTTTGCTTTGCTCTGATTTGACTTCCCGAGATGTGCCTGCTTTGGTCGCGTTTTGCCGTTTTCGACTATATTATGTTCACACCTAAGCTCATAGCGTGATTGTAGACTTATGTGCCTGCCGGACCAGTCATTGAACTTCGCTCTCTGGTCGTGAGTATTGGCAACGGTATTGGAGGGGGCGTCATCACGGGGCGAAATATCGGCGTCCGACTACTTCAACGAGCTCGACTTCTACCGCACTGTCAGCTTAGGGGTGAACGGAGCATACAAAAAGCATATTTACTTACGAATGACAAGGCAACTCACGAGATGTTCTGGATCCTTGGCAAGAGTTTTAGGATGAACTCCTGTCTCCTCGTCACAGGTTCTTGATATATGTTGATCTTAGTGATGTGCCGTCCACGTTGTAGACTGGAACGGTCCCCGATGAGTTGGGGTCGCGAATCCGTCTGGGCTAGAGTTTCGTGAGCGGTGGCTTTCCAGCTATGCCTTCAGACGAAATGCTTTTCTTCATCCACTTAGTCTTTCGACCCCACCTTTGCGTGTTTGTCTTGGTCTCCACTCCCGCGTCGCAGATTTTGTTGTCAGGTGGGCCTCGGAAAAAAAGTGATTATGAAAGTAAGGAGTAATTTCCTCTCAACTACGGCCTGAAAGTAATTCGCTGCATTACTGAATTACCAGTATAGAAAATTAATTTATCACATTGCTCATTACAGCAAAAAGTAATTTAATTATAGTAATGTCCTCATTGCCCTCTCCGGGCAGCATTTTTTTTCCCCGGATTACCACCCCCAATGCTCAGAGGCGCCGCAGTCTTGCTTTACATACGAGTTACTTATGCGGGATTTAGCATGCGAAGAATTTAGGACCTTCTTTCTTTTTTGCGAAACTTAAGCGGCTACCAGGCACGTAGCCAGAGAGGGGGGGCATGGGGCCCGTGCCTCCCCCCCCTCGCCGAAATCTTCAATTTTACTGGAGCCTCCTCTCCCCCCTCCCCCTCATGCAGCATTTTGTCATAAGTGTCCCCCCCCCCAAAAAAAAAAAAATAAAAAAAAAATTCTGGCGACGTGCCTGGCCGTTACTATAGACCATTTCATGTTTACAAGCAAACCGGAGCGCCCCTATCGGACACCACCGGCGCCGCGCATGCGCGATGGAGTGTGGGCAAGAAGCTCGCCGTCGCCCATGAACAAACCATTGGAATACGACGTTGTCCGCGTCGGTGTGAGTCCCCGTGCTCTTTTTTGCGTTGGAATTGTTGATTCTACGTCTTCAAGGCAATGTCTGACTACTTGAGCGGCCTGAGCGAAATTAATGAGGCTCGTTACACCGCAAAACTACGCGTGAAGAATGTGACATGCGGCGATTCGTTCCGCGTGGACGCCACAGAATGGACGCTAAAGCCTGACTCGCATGATGAGGTTCTGCTCGCTATTTTCAGTCATATAATTGCTCGAGCTGCAAAAGCGTGAACCGTAGTTGAGATGTCGACACCGATAATGAAAATCGCAAGCAGAATAGGACAGAGTGAACCAGGCATAACAAGTCGGTGATAGCCACTGGTAACACTTATCAACATTTCATTGCAACTACTGTTTACAAGTATATTTTTTACCCCAACCAGCCTTCAAACTTCAAACTCTTTCGAGGCCTGCCGATACATCTTAGCGCAATTACCGGGTCGACGTTTGGAATACGGGCGGCTGTCGTTTGAACGAGCAGACGACAACAAGCAGAAACGTTTGTGAAAGCAAACAACAGTTCGAACGATAAGGCGACTCTTTGAACTTGATGACAGACTGAACGTAGTCCACAGTTGGTTCATGCAAGTCGGCGGTTTTCCCGCGTTCATGTTGGAACGAAACAAATAATTCTGACGACTACAAGCATCCGTGAATTCAACCCAGAGTGCTTTTTTGCACAAGCAATCGCGGTCCGACGGTGTCAGGTTTTCCTTTGTCACGGCCCCTATCCGCATTCTCGGACTAATCGAGCAGGCGGAAAACACATGGAAACTGGCCTCCAATCCTTTCTCGACTCTTGTTACAGCCCCAGTACCGGCGATTTCATGAGAAGGCAGGTTCTTTCTGGTTTCTTCCAAAACGACACAGGAATGCACATCTTTCATGGTGACTTCCGCCCACAGCCCCAGACCGGAAGTGCGCCCGACGCGCCATCACAGCGCCGAGACGTAATACAGCTGAGTTCCTGTATACTATATCGTATAGATTCTGCTCCATAGCTCACTTTCAGAGCTTACATATCCACGAATTAAAAAAAATGTTATTTACATTTAAAAATTAAAAGAAGAGGAGTTATGGGGTTCCGCATAGACCAAATGTATTCACGCAGTAAACTCGACTCAACAATACAAGCAACTTCGTTAGTTTAGGAGGCGAGGCATGTTCTAAAGCATATTTCTTAGAAGTATCATTCATACCGGTCGGAAGACACATCTTTTTTGACCACTCTGGGTAGACCGTCCTACGAGGAAGAAACATTCGCCAGCCAGCGTCTGTAAACTTTCTTTTGTGTCATGAAATAGCAGTGCGAACGCGACTTTAGTCAGTGCTTGTTGCTGCAAGGTCGGTAGAACGTGTACGGATAGAAATGACACGTTAATGCGACTGAATCTAAAATGTTTCGCGCCAAAGGCGTAACTTTGTTGGTGGTCCCTAGATGGCGCCACGTGCCGCGCCACCTTTTGTTTTGAAAAAACAAAAATGCTCTTCATCTTTTTGTGCCAGCTTCCTAGATGGCAGCACGGATCCCAAAGCAACTAACTGTATAGATCTAGTATGATGTACGCCGCTAGAGGTTCAACCTCAACTGGTGCTACATATACGGCTCTGTGGTACTAGTGTGTTGTCGCAAAATGAAGCAGACAGCAACCAGTCGGAAATTGTTTTCCGGTA